CACCTGTGTTTATCTGTGGAATACAACCATATCTAAGCTATAGTGGTATATTTTCCCTTCACATCGCGCGATCGCGTGCGGCGAGCACGGCACGCCGTTCGGGAAGAAGGTACCAGACCCTTCGTCTACTGCTGAGCTGATTTTTCATTACGCCCTTCTAGGGCGGCTACTTCAGTATCCCCTTTGTTGACAGTACCTTCTCTGTACTGTTGCGATTGCAGTATCGACTTTTCAATCCAAAGCCTGAAAACGAACTTGCCCACCTGTCTCGGCCACAAGTTCATCTTCTCCAACCCCAGCGATTTGCTTATTTCAGCCTAAGAGCCAAGTAATCCTGAGTATCGAGCCTTGGACTTCCATAGCGTGAGGAAAGGGCCTAGCAAAGCGGGATTGAGGAAGGAGGAGCTAGACAACTAACTGAAAAAGCCAACTAGTAAGTAGGCTGTATAATTCCTGTCAGAATAATCCCTTCAACAACGATCAGTATATGACAAAAAGGGGAGGAGGTGGTGCAGCTGTATCAGTCGATGTTGTCTTCCTTCGGTTGGAACGCCGGCTGAGTCCGCATTCAGCAGATATGTTCTGTTTTCTATGACTCAAGTTCTTCCCACATTGGCTTCACTGACCCTGAGCGATACAATTCCATGATATAGATAGTACCGGTATGTCTTCCACAGCGGGCTCAGATAGCAATAATCCCTTTTTTTAGATCCCCAGTCGTAAGCGGCTATCAAATGATCGTAGAAGTAATGTCTCTACGACCAGTATAAGCCCTCCATCAATCACTGTACTTCTGGGTGCATTCCTGAAGAGAGCCATCTTTCTTTATCTACGTTTCGAGCTTTCTCGATCATCTTTTCTCGATGATACAGCTACTGCCGCTCTCTAGATCCAATTTGGGAGCTCCTATTTCGTCGCATAACCGCTTGCCATATCCTTTGAACCGGTCAGATAGGTATTTTTTCAGAATGCTCCGGCTACTGTCACTGTCAGCATTGTTCGTATCGACGTCATCGTTTTTCTTCGGTAACAGTGGCTGCGGATGTGCTACACCACCGATATGTCTGCCCATGCCATCATGTCCGCCGCCTCCAGTCCGTAAGTTTTGATGACTCACCTCAATTTTCGGGTATGGGTACATACGTGCGTCCGAGGATGCGCGCGGCCAATTGCGCGACGAAGTTCGTGACGGTTTGAACGACTCTAAAACCAATCGCTGGGACCCAAATCCTAAGTAGAGTAGACTAGAAGGATCATATGACCCTACTAAACTACTCTACTCCGAGTTTGTGCCCCGAAAATTGGCATCAGAGTCGTACAAATCGTCACGAACTTGGCCGCGCACTTTGCCGCGCGCCTCCTCGTACGCACGTAAGTTCCGTCCCCCCAATTTTCACTTAGTTCTTACGAGCTTCTTCTGAAGTTACACCATACACCAAATATTTCACGACATCTCACTGCAAAAGAGATCCGAAGAGACGGGAAACAAATTTTACCGTCCTCTGAGGAGGAGGGTTGTCTCAGGAAGTGATTTAAGACTACTTTTCGGAAGCGCAGCATCATTTCCTTAGTTGCCTTCAAAATCATGCCGAGAACTTTGCCTTTGAATATGAAATCCATCTAAATCAGGCAAGCTTTCGAAGAGGAAATGAATTGAACAGTCCGCCATAAAGGATTGAGGATGAAGTCTTTCAGGCGCCATTCAAACTCGTCTGAGGGATGTTCCCCCTCACCCGACTCCCATTTAGAATCGTGGCGGCGTATTGAACATGTAGTTGTCTATAGGTTGCGGTGGTCACCCGATGTACATGTCAGCTCTTTTATCCTCCCAGGCGAGTCTGGTACCATTGGACCGATACTTGCCGATACTGAAGACAAGGCAGAAGATGTCCTAGATAGAAGGACTCCGAAGCAACATAAAAGAAAAGCAGACCGGGTTGAACTCTAAAGAGGAATAGAATAGGGATGGGGCGACGGAATAACACTGAATCTGTGCTACCCTTTACTTAAGCGAATTCCCGATCGAAGACAGAAGACACATCGAAGCTTCATGTGTCCTGGTCAGCTGGTTGACCACAGAATCAGACCCTTCTGAAGTTTCCAACTTAGTTTTATCTGTCTTCGCTCCAACAGACCACCCTAGTTATTCCCGAGTGGGGAAATGTCTTTGTTGAGCAGTTTCTCTACCTGATTGAGATTCGAATGGTTAAACAATGACTCTGTCTTTTTTTTAGAAGGTTGTGCTCCGACGCCGTCTTGCGTTCCTGCCTCTCCTGCCTTACCGCCACTGCTAGGCTCTCCTCCGTACTCGGTAAAGAAGAGTTATTCTTCATTGAAATAACATCTTTAAGCCCTATTCGTTATAATTCGACGGCCCTAGATAACTAGGGTCGGCTCTCCTGGAATTTGATCCTTTCCATTGAATTTACAATTTTAAGGGACCCTCATTTGGCGGCTCATCATATGCTCAACCTCCACCGGCTGCTGCTCCCCTCCCATTGCTACCTCAGTCTCCACTTTACGAAGCACCTCAGGTACGTTCAACTTGCTACTTTTGTTAGATAAAAATAGAAAATTATCTAAATCCGAAACAGTTTTTAAAACTGCATTTTAAGCCTCAACTAGAGCTTGCACCTGTGGGACCTGGACCTGCAGCAGCTTCAGTTGGCCAGACATTCGTGCAACCAGGAGGCGGCTATGTTGGTTCTCCTCCCCTACCACAGCAACCTCCTGTAGGACCAGTGGGCCTTCCTCCTCAAGGCCAGGTGCCTCCTTCAGTCCAAGCGCAACCAGCTCCTTATCAGGTACGTCAAAGCAAGCCAAGCCGCGAAGCAGCCACAGCCGATCAGAACCTATTTTATATTTGAATTTAATTTTTTCTTAACTGTTGATCATCGCAGATGGTGGCGTGAATTTCACGCTGTGGACAGACTTCTAGTCCCGAATAGGCTGGAACTTCAACACACGCTTTACGGGCATTTAGAGGAAAGCCCTGAATTAAGTGAGAACTGTTTTGTCGGAATAAACTCCCAAGAGCAAGGTCGGCTCTGTGGAGAACAATCCGCGACCTCTACTTCAGCTCACGATTACGCTGATCTTATCCTCCTCCCGTATTTCTCACAAATATCTCCTCTCACAGCGGTCAATCTTTCAAATTGATTCTAAATCCTGCTGGATTAAAGAATTCAAATGAGAACTCCTCTCTTTTATTGGTCCTGCCCTTTTTGTCCGGTTTTCTTCTCATCAAAGAATGGACAGGACGCCTATGCGGATACCTGCTGCAGACCCGCTTCCTGGACAGTTTTTTCTCGAGAAGACTTTCAAAGCCAGTTTCTCGCCCTTGTCCTCGAGACCCCATATGGCGATCGGCCTGATACGAATCTCTTTGACAGGCTCCGTGGAAGCATAGTTCGTTTGGACGAATTTTTTCCTTCTCGAAGGAATCGGCCAGTTCCAGGCTAGATCAGTTTGTAGTGCTCTGAGAAAAGGATTAGGCGATTTAATCAGAGATTTGTTTCTTGAACAAAATGTTCCACGATAACGGATCTGAAAGCCCTTTCACTAAAAGCGACTCCGATAAGTCTAAGCGAAAAGATACGTGGAGAAGGATGAGCGGAATTGAAACGATTCCAAAGTAGCCGAGTTCTCTAGAGTTTATATTCAAGGAGGGGCAACCTAGTTCTTCTCGGAAACATCATTAATTCCAGCATGAACTAGAAATACATCAGAAAGTGATTAAAAAGTAAGCTACGCTGCTAGAAGCAGATTAAGGTAAACATCAAGCCATCTAAATTTGAGTTACTTGGGAGGGGTAACTTTTGGCTGATCCAAGAAATTGGTAGGTCGGAATAGAGCAGGTCATTGCGGCCCATGGTAGGGAATTGCCCTTCAAAAGTTAGGGCCAACTTTAAAGAGCAGTTCAATCGTAGATTCAGAAAAACAAAATCTTAGTGATACTTCTACTTCTACTCACCACTTCGAACTCTCTCAGTCATTGGCAATCAGACCTCGAAGACAGTGGGGTGACCGAACGAGATACAATAGCTAAGTGGTAGAGGGTGTTGCAAATTGTCAACCGTTCCGAGCCAAGCACTGCTTCCTGCTAGTCTAGAAATGAAATAAAGAAAAAGAAAATACAATGCGAAATTGTGGGAAAGTTCAAAACAACGATTTTCAGGAAGGTCCAGTACTCAATGCACAACTCAATGCACAACGTGATGCTGAGCCCGAACAAAGCGACGTTCTTGTTAACGTAAGTTATCAGGAAGCCATTTACTCTCTGGAATAGATCGTAGACGACTCTTTTAAGTAATACAGTAGATTCATTCCGCAAAATCAACTAAAAAACTTGCTCTGAGAAGCAGCTAAGAGTAGTTGAGCAAATATGCCGCTCTGAACTGAACTCCACAAAGAATGAAGAGAATCCCAATGCTCGAAAGGAAGGAACCCAGTGGTTTCCATCGAAAACCGCCATGGCCTACCTTCAGGTGACGGGCGCGGCTTAGGTAGTGGGTGGGATTTGTAGGGTATACGAGCCCCTTACATTCGTGATTCCTTACTAGAGCTTTCCAAGAATGTAAGGAGACGGAGATCGAAGGGAAAGAAACTGTGGCATGTAACTGACTACCTGCCACCCGGCAGTGCCCACAACCACTAGGTCAGTTGCGAGTGCTGCATTTTACTTCTGTATAATGCTTTAGCTACTAATATTGCCTCCATTGCTTATTTCTATTCTCAACTAGCCTAATTTTGAGGGAAAAACTGATGGAGAACTAATTCTTGTTAAAGTAGGGTGCTTTTTTAAGAGACTCCAACAAGAAGCGCTGGCAGCTGGGCGGACAAACGAGGAAGTTATCGAAGAACAGGAGGCCGCAGTAGAGAAACCCGGAGAAGACTTCTCAACCGTAAGTCTTCTTTCTCATCTCTGCTATCAAGTCCATTATGGTGGATATTCGTCTCCATTGGATCCTAACAGACAAACGTTGACGAATACTTTAATGTTCATGGCTCATTCCAGGCTCTTCCTTTGGAATCCACTACCATTCCTGAAGTGGCAGAAGAACGTGTAGTTGATATTGCTACCCTGAACCTAACCGATGATCCACTCTGCAATTCTGAAGACCTCAGAAAACTCATGCTTGCAGTAAGTTGCGATTATTGCAATGTACTCACTATAATTTTTTGTTTTTCTGGAAAATACAATTACAATCCATTCAAAGAGGGAAAAGTTGAAAAAAGTTCTCAGAAATCCATCTCTTCTCAGGAAAGAAAGCCAGTTAAAAAGTTCGAGTAAAAATGAATTTCAGAACATTGACGAGAATCTGAACAGCTCAAAGCGACTGATCCAACTGGCAGCAGAAGCTCAATTCGGCGGACGATTCGACGTCATCTGTGCCAATGGAGATTTCAGGTGGGTAACGGTTCAAATAGGGGCAATATCTGTTCCCTGTAGGGCCTCTACTCAAATGAGGGCCCTGTTTCTATTATATAAATATTACATTACAGTTATGTGACGAATACTGAACTGTTCTGCCAAGAGACGAAAGGAGACGTCTCATGCTACACCTACAGACAATTATAATAGCTTCAGTGCTTTTCGACGACGATCTCTAGAATTACCTGAGTAATTACACTACTGTATTTGGGAGATCAGAGACGGTACCGTACAGCAGAGCAGTACACTTTAGCATGAATCGTTGTCGAAGATGCCCACTTGACCATAATGACAGGTGTGAATGTATGTTTGTCTGTTCCAGATTGTTTGTGTATTATGATGATGTATAATTTATATTTGTGCAATGCGTTTGACATTAATAAATAATTTATTCTCTCTTCTAGTTTGAATATTTCGGCTGAAAATCCAAAAAGGTTCCTCTTTCTAAAGGTTGCAATTCAGTCCCTCAGCCTTCTTCAAGATTAACCTTATGAGTTGGATCTTCTTTTTGGGGTCTAAGTATTTGAATTCTGAAGATAATTCCACCGAAACAGCAAGCTGAGCCCAAACATTGAGATCTGCCTATATCAGCAGCAAAGCACAATGTGACATGGTCAAGGGTATATTCAGTATGGGGTTCCCAGATGTCACCGGTTCCATTTGTCAAAAAGCCACTACTCAGCACTACACTTAACCACAGTGTATTACCATGTGGGCTCTACCACAAGCATGTCCCAGTACTCAATCTCGGGTTAATTTTCGCCCTCGCCAACCCAAGCTTTATCTCTCAAGGTTGGCTAAATGATACCAAACTGGTCCGGAAGATTGGAAACACAGACTGCACCGATAACCTCAAATCATTGTATAGACCACACACGCACTCAGAACGCGACCACAATTGCAAATGGTAGCTGAGTGTTAAGATTGTCGCCCAGAGCCCAAGGGACATCACGTCTTTAATACTCTATCAACAGCTGTCAACTCTATGTATTGCTGCGCATTCAACTTACACTTCTGTCTGTACGTCTACCCAACTAGCTACCCTCTGCGTCACCCACTTTACCCTGACGTTTTGAGAAAGTTCCTATGTTTTCCTGCATCTCCCTCTATTTCTAGTCATTATCTGTATGTCATTCACATGCCGTTCATTCCTGTCCTTTCCACAATGCAGACCCCTCGCTGCAGAGGGAGTGCTTTGTTCTCCATCAGTGCCTCTTTCTTCTCAGCTTCTGATTTCCTTTTGACTAACGTACTCACTTCTCTAAATTTTTCTGGTGATCTATGGTCCCCAATAACTCCACGTAATAGTTCCCACAATGTTCACCCGCTCACTGCGGTGGTAGCGATTGGTATCGCTCTCTTATCGCCTCGTAAATTACTGACTCCCTTTAATTACACCGTACGAGCCTACCACAAAGGGCGGTATGCGAAGGGTACTCAGAATAATCAGAAGATCCCAATCTTTGCTCGGAGTTGGTTCTGGATTCCACTAAGTCCGATTCTTCCTTTCAATCGCCAGATCCCTCTACTGTAGCACCGATCACTGCTCCATCGATGTCCTCACTGGGGATTTTTGTTCGGTGGAAGAATCACCGTACTTAAGAGGTCCTTCAAGATTTATATAAGCAGGGTATATTTCGATTGGAGTCCTATGAAAAAGGCTTGGGTGACTTATGTAGGTTCCGGTCATGCTGACCTCAGGCTCCCTATAGTTCGCCAACCCGCATCATGAGGTTCTCTTAAGGGTCCTTGACACAAAAACACAAAAAATTAGTGTCAGGTGGAAATAATTAAGCAGATTAAAACTTTAAGGTCCATAGGATTCTCGGTGTTGCACAATACGTAGGTTAATAGATTTATTTCAAAAAACATTAAAACAAAAGCATGGAGTACTCCGAATCACACAAACAACAAAGCTGCAAAAAAAGAGAAGAGTCGCTCATTTTCAACATGAAATAATGGAGAAAATCAGGAAAAATTCAAAATCGTCGCTGGAAAGATTCGTATTGAACTGTATCATATATCTATACATCTACATGTAATTATGCATGTACTTGATATATACTAATAACCAATGAATTCGAAAATTTTACCGTCGAAAAATGTGTGCATTGACTGAGGCACCGTTCACACTCCAACTCAGCCTCTCAGCCTGCACTATGGAATCGATATTGATTTTACGCGTGTACATAACCGATGTACACACGTCCTTTGTACATGCCGATGGAGCTGCTTGAAGTGCGAATCGAAGCCTTATTGACAGGAATTGTTACCGTTATCAAAACATCAATCAATATCAATCAATAAAGCGAAAACGAAGGAGCAAGATGTTGGAGAGTATAGCGAGCGAAAACCATGATGAACCGATAAAAAGGTATCAGCAAACCTTATACACTGCTTAGAACCCCTTCCAAAGATACCAGAAGGACCGGTAGGATACTTCGAAGGAAAAATGATGGCTTACAAACTCAGAGCAGGTGGTAGTTCATGATTTCTTACAGGATTCTGTACGGAATCTGGTCCTTTGAAGATGCGTAGACTACCCCCTGTTTCGATGAAATGGGAGATAGAGAAGGTGGTTTGAAAGAATTCAATTTTCTCCACTGTGGGAACCTTGCTGTGGCTACAAAAGAGCTGAGAGCAGTTTGCAGGACGTATAAGGTTTACTGTATTAGTAATAGTACAAATCAGTAATCGTTACTCCAAGATGAGGAGAACAATAGCAACGGGTATGTTTGAAAAATGATGGAAAAAATGGGAAAAATAGGGCTTTCATCACTTTTTTGAACAACCTTTATGAATGGGAACTGGTAAATGGTTACTTTAAGAGAAAAGTCGTAGAAAAACACAAAATAGTGATGAGGTTTACTCCCTGAACGAGGAAAGAAGAGCTGCGCTGGTCGTCTGCTGAACGAGTAGAGGATGCTATTCAGCCCAGATGAAGAACCGTAGACGATAATTCAGCCATGTATAGATGGAGACGTCATTGTTGATGGCGGAAAATGGCAATGGCGTCACAAAAGGTTTTTTCTTGAAAGGGTTCCTGAAACCAATAGATTTCCGAGGTTTTATAGTGCGAGATTTCGATTTTTTTTCTGAAATTTAATTCCCCAAAATTAGAACTCCCAAGTGATAACAACCACATTTACTCGAGTCATACTTTACCGAACACTTCGTCCTTATCGAGAGTAGGTTAACACCTACTTTCGAATTTCAGCCACCCATTCTCACCTTTCCCTCAAACCAGATCTGTCCCATTTCAGAAATTTGCTTCTAAAAAAATTCCCCCTCTACCTTCCCAGGTTGCACTCCTCGATAGGGCACGGGCAGGGGAGCCGCTACTGCACACAATCCTACAGATTGCTCCAAGGACGGAGTCTAGCTCAATTAAACTGCGTCATCATCCCCTAATGAATAAAGAAATAGAAACTAGGGGGTAGTAGAACTTCGCAGTCCCTATGCCTTCCTCCATCTTCTTCTCTCTTTCCTTGCTTACCCCACAGTCAGATAGGCATCCAGATGCCTTCGAAAAGCGGCATGAAAATTAAATGCAAGGCGTAAACCCTGAAAAATCGAACAGAAATGAGAGGTTTCTTCAACTCAGCTGAGTTAAATTCTTGTCGATGTTCACCCTGAACATGACATTCCAGACAAAATGAACTCAATTTTGCTGGTCCCCCTATCGACTGAGATCACTCGGACTACATGCACCTTTCCGGTTACCCAGCCGCCCACACCTTATGCCGCATGAAATTGGATCCGTTGGTGGACGCTTGGACGCTATTCGCACCTCCTCGTTCAAACAGCACTCAGCATGCGAAACTAATTCGTTGTCATGCAATCGAACACCTCCTCTGCCCGAATGATGGTCCCAGATGCGTGACCGAATGACCAACGGATGACATTAGCCAATTTGAAACCCTATACGGGGAGGGCAAGCAGGAGAACAATTTTGAAAATGGCATGGTTTGAGGAAGCTCTGAGATTGTGGAATACCTATGATCAGAAAAATCTTCAAATGTCTCTCCACCCAGGATTATGGGAAGTGGTAGTTTGTTTCAAGACCAACTAGGTACCTCAAATTCACTTGCACATGAAGACAGTGGAAGAAACAACCATAATGTCAAGGTGACAAGTTTGGCACGTATTATCCTACACCAACGAATCCTGCTCCCGAACAGTAAAAGAAAATCAGAGTAGGAAAACAGTCATAACGTATTATGAGCAGTTTTGGTGAAAATATTTTCCATTTGCTCCTAGCCCACAACCAACCCCCACCCTCGGCTTCTTCCCATGGACCGTGAACGAGTGACCTTTCCAACAGATCTGCAGCCCACTCGCTAGTTCATAATGTGAGAAAATCGCATCTGGTTCCCTGTAACTCTGACTGTAAGGGACTGTTCCTACAAATTACAGTCATCTTGAAGAACACACTGTTTCCGTGAGGTCATTCTGTTGCTAGCACATTCTGTGGCCAATGTGACAGATGGCCGTCACACCAGTCTGGCGACACAGCCATTTATGGTGAAATGGATGTTTTATTGCGATAGATTTGCATAGGATGACCGCACTATTACGAAGAATCGAGCCCATATCAGTAGGAAGTAGGAATTACAATTAAGTGGGCTGAAGGTAGTCCAGTTAGTCTAGTGGACTGGGAGGAATACATTACAGCTCTTTTTCTTAGGTCTTAAATCAGCCACTTCTAATAATCTTGCTATCCCTCTCCCAGTTAGTGCGAGCTTTCTAAGACGATGTGATGGTAATAGGGTAAATATCCTTTGGAACCTACAGCCGTACGTAGGCCAGTTACCCCTTACGATTTCTCCATGATCATGGAGAAGAGGATGGTGCATGGCTTAATCCAAAGAATTGTGCCAGAAACTAGCTCCTGACCGTATCTTTTTCCTTTAATTCTATCGATCGATAATTTGAATATTTTCAATGAGTCGATCCCCATTTGAGTCTTTGGACATGCTCTGTTTATGGTGGGACCTTTCCCCACTTCCAATTGATTAGGCTCGAACCCTCGAACGATTTTTTTCCAGGCACATGTCAAATCTAATAAAATTTAATTTTACTGAAATCCATTATTGGCAGGTCTACAGAAAAGTTTCTGAATTAAGCTTCCATTAGAAATATCGATTGGATATCCAGTGAGAGAAGAGAAAAGACTGCTAACCTCCTTTAGTGCAGCAACCACAACGACACCAAGGACGTGACAGCGATGAAGATCGAACCTGAAAAAATGGATTTTCTTAGCTATCAGTAGGTCTGACAACCAAGCAGGCCCTTCCTAGTTCTCTAAGAGAATATTTTTCACCAAAGTAGAGCACCATCAGTCATTAACTAGTATACTACAACACCCAGTCGGACCCTTATAGTAAAGGCGCGTAGCTGACGACGATTTCCGTTTCTGCGGCAGCTTTGGCTCATAAATCCGGTCAGACGGAACGATCGAGCTCTGATAGACCCCCTAGGAACACATTAATTTTCATCAATCCGCTGGATGTCTGCACTATTTGGCCATCACTTTTTTTTACTGCGTCAATACATACTTTTCATTAGACAAACCCACACACGCACAGAGCCAGACAGACACCAATCATCCATGTGGGAGAGAGAAAAAGAGGAAAAGTGCATTCCAATACCCATGTGCATGTCGAAAAAAATCGGAATACGGCAATCGATAGAGGCTTGCAGAGAAAATCCAATGAGTAATACTGCAGTTAGCAAAAAGGCAGGTTCATTAGGCCACTGGCGATACCCTCTAAGACACCACTTCAAGACAGCGGCTGGAAGTACTTTTACAAATTATGGAACTCTGAACAGGTTGGAAGCTGTTCAATACCCCTACCGTTTCCCCAAATATCCAGGAAGAAGTATGAGTACTTCCAACCCCAAGCATCTCAGGGTGGAGGTAGGTCATACTTTTATGTGATTGCATGGCCCTATTCAGCGAACAATTTCATGGCGCACTCTAATGGTCTTCGCAACGCTGAACGGTTTTCTGAGCCATTCAAGCCCATGAGATCGAAGTTATCATATTTTTTGGTCTGAAAGATCACCGTTGTCACGCCAGTTTACCAGTACGTTAAAGGCTTGAGAGCTCTAGCATGGGAAAAGTCCCACAAAGTCTTTTTCGATCCATCAATGAACCCGAAGGCTCTGCGACCAGAAGTTTCCCGAAAAAAAGCAAAAGCTAAGCCCACGGCCGGGATCGAACCGACAATCTTCTGATTAGAAGTCAGACGCCTTATCCATTAGGCCACGCGGGCCACGTTTTCGTTCCACAACCAACCCCCTTTCGAAAGTCATTGTAGTTCAACCAGAAATGATGGTTTAAAGTGTGAGCGTCATAAATACACCTGCACTGGCTTAACCTAATACGGTATTATACCGTAAGCCTTTCCGGTCGAGGTAAAACATCTGCTCCTGTAGTGATTACAGGGTCGATTATCATTACATATGGTATTCACAAGCTCAAGCAGTGTTCTGTTTGGACCAAGCTGTCTCGTACTATAATAGATGTTCTCCAGACGATTACTGACTAGTCAAAAACTATTGAAAAACTTCCTGAAGCGACCCTTTGCACTGAGCTGCTCCAACTCCCCCACTCCCGTGACAAAGCCATCAATCTTCTAGGAAAGCCGAGAAACTGAACAATCCATTTCTTCACCACTCAATTAGCGCATGCTGGATGTATTAGTCCCGATGGGGCCAACACCCCATCATGGTTTTAGGTTTGGGAAGCTCTGGCACATCCTTCGCTTCACATTCGAGGCCAACTTTCAGGCTTTCGGTCTAATATGCTAGCAATGAAGGGTACATATCCCACCCTCTCCTGAGAATCCTGAAAAGGACGAGCGTAGAACCTGCAACCGTAGCGGGAACCCAACTGAAGCGGTTTGGGTGTACTATCTCGAACTGAACAAGTCTGGTCGGAAGGTATTTCCAATTTGACTTATCCTTCTTGCGCCCTAGACCCGATACTTACGCCCTGGAATCTGGTACGAACTCAGTAACGATCACTAAATTCAGAAATAGGAAATACCCCCTCCTCACTCCCACTCAACAGATGATTCCTAAGCCTGGATACAGCTCAATACGGGTTTCATTAGAACATATCGGGGCCACTTAAACCGCATCAACCCCCTACCCAATTTCCGTCATGAGCCCGAGGGGTAATGATGAATCGCATTCGCATCGCAATACGATTCAATTGAATACGTAACGAGCGGTCGCTAATTAAACCATCTTCCCAATCAACATATTCTGATAGGAAGAGGTCATTGGTAAAGAGAAAGAAAGACATGATAGCTCTGAATTCATGGCTTAATCAACTAGGATTCAGGGTTTCTGTAGGGAAAAAGCAAATTCGAGGCGACGGGTATGTGCGTGGTGTGCCTGAGGGGTAAAAAAAATAGAAGTTCCCATGCTAGGGGAAAACCAAACCTTCTCCCGAATTCATGTGGGGGGTAAAGAGAACCTCTCGGAGCTGTCTTCCAACTTTCCCTCAAAAACTACTCAAAAACGATAGGATCTCGAATTACACTTGAGTTCTTTCATCAGCGAGAAATATTGAAATAATTTATGATGGAACGCTAAAGGGCATTCGATGCAGCCTTCGATTCTACTTGGATGAATGCCAAATTGATTTCCCACTTTTATATTCTCCCATAAAGCCTGACAGACAGTTAAGGAATGTAGGCGTCTCATCGTTAATGAGAAATAGGGAAGTGCATCCCTTCGAAGCAAAACTTGGAGCTTGACCCCCTTCTTTTACCCTATTTCGGTGCTTTACTTCACTGAAATATTTACTTCGCTGACCTGTTTACTAACAAGTACTGGCAAGGTGTTTAATGTTTGTTGTTGACGGTCAGGTTCAAGCACGCCGTGAAAAACTGCTGAGTAATATGACACCTCCTCTAGCCGCTTTCCGGAACTGAACTTTGTCATCCTCACGGCCCAGTAGGGCCATCACTTCTCAAAAATTCCCTGCAGAACATCTCCCAGGACGAGGGAACACCCTCCCCCCGAGTTTTATAGTGACTCTGAAATTCTCTCAATAGCCTTTCTTGATTTCTGATAAAAAAAGCCTGGACTAATTCGAAGCAGAAAAAATCCCCAGAAAAGTTTCTCAAATTCGATTCCTTAGCCAAATTGAAGTAGACCTGAGTGACGTGCATTGGTAAAAGTGCAGGAGCTAAATATAGACAGCAAATGGAAGTTTTTGAAGTAAGCTTGGTGAAAAACTGGGAGGAACGAAGTGAGGACGGACGTCGTAGAGGGCTTACATCAGTCGCCTTGAAGTGCCACCGAAGTTTCCGGGGGATGGACATTCTTACACAATAAAATGAGACCATGTNTTCGGTAAATGTGGAATCTTCCCCAGCCATGCATGTAAAAAAGGATGCCGAGTGGGACGCCTGTACCCTCCCACACCCGATCCCTCAATCCTCACACAATATCCCACCCATCAATGAAGTATTTGGGTAAAGATGCTACCACCAGGGTTTGTTAAGAGCAGCAATGACCTTTATGACGGAACCAGTTCAGATGAAAGCAGAATCTCTCACTATTCTTAGTTTCAGAATAAAAATAGCTTTCTTCCCTCCCCAACCCTCTCCCTCCTGTGAGGAATCGATGGCACGTGGGGTCTCGAAATGTTGTTGACTCCTTCATGATGCATCACTCAGAATGTCATTCAGATATTCCATTTATAATTGCTTGCTATATATGGTGGATGCCATTACATCTCCATGGTGGGCTAATCTGGTGACGTTCATCTTCCACTCCCACATCCCTTGAGGAATTGCCATTCAAAGCACCTCAAAGTGCCTAGTTATCTGACAATATGATGGGAGGCAGAGTTGAGATACTTACTGTCATGGGAATTTCAGTATTTCGAAGTTCGGGCTCATCACCAACGGTAAGAAAGCGACTAGAGTTTCTTAGCAGATCCGGGAATCGACAAAAATGCCAGCCAATTTCATTAGCGCGCGCCACGCATCCGACTTTTTTTTTTGAGAAACCATGGAGGCTTTAAACAGGTTTGCGGTGATTAAAATGGTTTTCCGCAAATTTCGGAGCCATTTTTCCACCGCATAGCGAAATGGGAGATTTCCTAACATGGAGGTCCTAAAAACATCAGAGCAACTTCTTGCAAGTGCGCTGGCTCAGTATTGAATTAGTGGAACCGATTAGGGACTGTTAAATCAGCTTCCTTTCAGGCCCATAGTCGTATGAGTAGGGTAAAATAAAAACTGGTGCTCTGCTTTGGAATTTGAGCTATGTTTGCCCCATTTGAAACTCCTGGGTTACCTAACCCCGCCATAGAACACCTAGAAACTGAGAAACTTACCGGAGCTATTAACTTCTTCTTCGATCACGATGGGTTCGGGCGTTGTCGTAGTGGTAGTGGTGGTGACAAGCTCAGTACAGTTACGTTGTATACATACAGCGTCATAACTTCCATCCTGAAATTTCAAGGTATTTTGTAATTTTAGGGTAATAGATAGCCCAACTATGTAAGCATAAAACTGAGGTAATGAAGATCTGTGGGATTCACCGAGCATGCGTCTTTGGCCACAGCTCTAGCGAAGGAAGCTCTTTAGATGGGTAAGATGATGGTTGGCTTATTCTGAGATACCATGGCGTCAGCTTTTACCTCTTCTTCAACTTTACGGAACCTTCGGACGGATCTTACAACCTACCTTTATATAACCAGTTGTCTGTCCTGAGAACTTTTCGCTCCTACAGCACCAGCTTACTACTCTATCAGCCCCATTCAGTTAGAACTAGTCACAGGAGGTATTCCTCATGCATCTCCCCTATCGATATCCCTCGTAAGGCCCAACTTTTTTAATTAAACTTCTTTCCCTCCCTTTTCTATCTCGTGCATGATGCATTCTGCTCGTTTTTATGTGACTTATTCATCGATATATTCCTAGTTGGCACTGGCTTACTGGTAAAAGCTACATGGGGAGTAGTACTAGTAATACTTGGCCTAAGTCAGAAAATCGATAATTTCGGATCAATCAAACTACTACTGCTTTTAGCTTCACGTACCTCAAGTGGAATACACCGTTGCTCGTTAGTCTGACACTTATCACCATTGTTGGGATCGAACTGCATCGAACAGCACATTATGAAAGCCTGAATCGAACAGAATCTTTTTAATAAAAAGCAAATTTACAACATTGAAAAGGTCTTGACAGAGGTTTCAGAGTTTGACAAAAATTGCTAAGATAAGTATTGAAATGAAAAACTATGAGGTAATAGTCTGGACTGGGAAAGCGAAAAGCAAGGAGTTGAAGAACATTGAAGATCGGAGGACATCGGGATTCGAAAAATCGCTGAAAGCCTTACCTTACAATACTGCTCAGGTGTTGGTGCAAATGTAGCAATAGAATTACAGCTTTCAAAACGATCTCGAATTGTTGGATCCCAACCAGTCACCGCCATATCCCTGAAAAAAGGACACAGTGATTCACGAACACACAGGGGCTTTTGGGAAGCCTAAGCGGAACAGGTAATTCAGGAAACACCTAACCTGCCGATACCAAGAATAATGTCGACCTTAAGCTTCATCGAAGCAGTGAGCCCTATGACACTTGTTCGGAAAATATGTAAAGTTCAGTGCGAGATTGGTTTTTGTTGAAGGGCTTTGCAATTTTTACAGTCATTCACTTCAGTTCTGTATGGTAAACTGCTTTTGTAGTTAAATTTAGACATGCTGGGCTCAATTCTTGATAAACTCGGGTCTAATGGAATTCCATAGCTCCAAGAGTAATCAGGATTGGATGTACTCGTCTGGACAGCTTGTGCTCTGGGTATACCACAAGTACAAAACATAACCCATAAAAAAACAGTAATTTCAGCATAACACCGGCGTGGGTTGAAGCGCTGCCAAATAGCCTCTTCGCGACCGCACGCTGCGTTCCCATGGGTTGAGGACAGTGTACAATAGAGGTGCTAGGCGAATGCTCCTATCATTTCGGATAATACAGATCAAGGAACAGCGTATACATGAGGGCAAAGAAAAAGGTCATGATTTTCGAAAGCGGCTTACTCAAACGGAGAAAAAGAAGGGATTTCAAAGAAAAAAGAGGTAGTCATGCATAAGTAGCAGATAGTCGGGGATTCCACTAATTTTTTCGGGAAGTGCCCTTACCTCTGCTCTTCCTCGTCATCTTCATCTGATGTTTGCCGCCTCATCCGTGCATCAATAGTGCAGATGGCTACGAATACGAAAAGTAGTAATGTTCGTGACATTCTGATCAGTTATGGGTTTATGTGTGAAGAATTGCCTCCCAAAGGCTTTCGGCCAATGATACTGCAAAAGGACAGAATTTTCTTGCAAATCGAATTAATTACAGCATAGTCTATACGATTGAAGAACAACGAGAATAATTAGATTTCACCAAGCAAGCAAGAAGATAGCGTCGTTAAACGCGATGTTGTATTACTCATTCAAGCAACGCCCATGTTACAGAGGATTACTATAGTCAATTACAGTAGCCACAGAGAATCGCTACAAGACCGTAAACGACCACAATCGGAGCACCGTCAATCAATAATGGAGTGACCAAAAATAGTAAGACCGTACGGGAGCAAAAGAAGTAGGTAATAATTGCGACGGCGTGAAAATCATTTAGAAATCACTGGGTAAGCTAGGGTCGTCAAGAGCCTATGATTATTGAAAATTTGTAGTTCGAATTGGAGTACCCAGTCCCCCTTCCCTTACCCGAATAAAACAGAGGGATGTCCGACACAAACTGGTAAGGGTAAATTTGTAGTGAGACACAGAAAAAGTACGAAAGCGTGATGTGAATCAAAAAATGCCCCCGTTAAGACCGCGACAGGGAGGATTACCTGCCCGAAAAAATGTCGAGCACGGCTCCAGCGGAAGTATTTTTTTCGTTCAAAGCTTGTTTTCTCAACGGAAATAAAAAGCCGACACTCATAGAGACCCGAAGTTGTACTTTACTCAATGAACTTATCGATCCACACGTTTAGAAAAGCCACGCTCGAATGTGGCGCGAATGGACCGCATCGACTGATTAATCTGCTGGCATACTGTAGACGTATCACATCAGCAAAGTATAAAAGCAAAAAGTTGAATTATAGAGTCTCTGAACTTTTTATGCAGGAAACTATGAACTAATCCCAGAAAGTCTATAAACCACCGGGACGGACGTTTTCTTCATGAATGCGGATTAATTCCAGTGCTCAGCGAAGCATGTGATTGCTGAAGGCATCCTTTCTTCCTTTATTCCGTCCACACTAAGCTTCGAATCTTGCAGACGGTCGCATTTCAGCCTAGCAGGCAGTCTATCGAATTTCACTTCACTCAGTAGTAGTAATTAGTAAAGTAGGATGCCTATGAATAATTCATCGAAACCACGACGACGTGATGAGAAAGGCCCCAGATGTGAGCTGTGAAGCTGACGAAGTTCGATAATGAGAGGAACGGAATTTAAACGGCTGTAAATTGCATTATTTAATTAGCTGGTTGGTGGTTCTGTGGGGTGAACATGCAAAAAACGTCAGCGATCGCCCGCTCTGCCAATGTTGAAACAGACCGCTCTGGGTGATCATATATGTACATTAAGTCGACTGGGCCGATTATAGAGCAACATCGAGTGGGCAGGAATAAAACGGTGCCGATTTGACACCGGGTGAGTCATCTGGGATGATTTCTATCGGATTAAAAAACTGGGGATTCAGACTAATGACTACAGGCGCTTCCCATCCCAGAGTGCATAGGGATTATCCTGAAGTTACTGAAAAACCTGATTGACCTGTGCAGGAGCTTAGATCGAAGCAAAAAAAGGACGGTCCCTACCTCAGTGGAAGCTGCTGCAGTGAACCTGTTGCAACGAACCGAAAAAGGACTGGGCGACTGCTATACTCCCAGAAAAAAAAAGCAGCAAATAAGGTAAATCCCATAGTTTTGCCCATTTATACCAGGGATTAGGGTAATATGCGAGGCGATCAGTGAACGCACTCTAGCGACGACGCAATCGGGCGTATGGATAAGGCAGAAGAGGGTGAAAAGGAGGACGGCGAAGAGCAAGAGGATCGCCAGAACAGAGACCCATCGATGGAGGCAGCCGACGATCATGGACCTTCACACATAACTCACTATAATCTATTTAGGATCTCGCAATGGAATTATGCGAACAGAGACGATAATGTCCTTTGCCACAAAGGAAGCCTGGGCACCCAAAGGCCTTTCTTCTTAGATCCCACAGGGACCAGAAGGCCTGCCGAGGTTCCTGAGACGAAAAAAAAAAGAACTTTGACGGGTGTGACGACAGCTGGGTTACGAAATGAGCACTTTGAAGGGGTTTAATGACTCATCGACATCTCCTATTACGGTAGATGTAATTAGGATGCACTGGGGGTAGGTATGATTACGGTAGCTTGAATAGGACAATAAGCATAAATTGGGTTTTTATCGGAAACACCTGCGATAGCTTTACATTTCCATTTTTTACTCGATAAAATCGATTTCTGCCCAACTGAACAATCGGTTTTTTGAATGGCTACCGTAATAGGTGTTTAAAGTGAGGCTCATTCTAACAATAGAAGTTAGCCAGCCTTTTTTGACAAATAAAATCAAAGCAGCTTCTCCAAAACAAAGCGATGAGAGCTGGATTTGTGAAAGCGGCCAGCAGCTGTGGGTGGAGCATATCGGTTGTTTTTCCCGAAAGTTCTCTCCCTTGGCATGAATGCGAAACGAGATGGTATGTGAGAAAGAGGCTTTAAAGACTCATCTAATTCGAGTGACGGTTTGGTTAAATGTGTTCAGAATGAAGGGATCGATGGCGTCGTGTTGGGCGTTGAGCGGCTTAATTCAAGGTCTCCGTCGACTTAGAGACAGGCAGGTGTGGGAGCTCCCGGAACGGATATTTAATATTTCCAATTAGAACACCTGCAAAGTGGTTTTCTCGTGTCTTTCTATACCGATAAGGGACACGCGGCTTAAACGACCGACTTTTATATTGAATAGGTCTCACCAATACCCCTATAACTTAGACTCTACCTTTTGTCCCGCTTTTCCTCCCATGATTGTGATAGAACTAAACCTTCAGCGCCAATCGAGCCCGCTTTGGAGTGCGCAATGCATTTGACTTCCAATCAGAATCTTGGTATCTCGGTTTGGATGCGTATGAGGCCTGTACAATGACTCACGGTAGCCAGCCGATGTACAATTAATACCTTCACCCTCTCAGACATGCCTAATACCAATTGCTAAGCCCCAGAGGGGTGAAGAGCTCGGCTAGCCTGGGCGAATGTCGATCTGGGATTCGAACCCGAACCATGAGTGTATGCGGAGGGTGCCGCTGCCCACTGGACCACTTCCACCACTGCTCAAGATCATAAACGAGCATAGTTATGACTCAGCAAGTATGGTTGTAGTACGATTTTGCCAATAAGCATGTCATTTACTACCCCTTCTTCAAGGTTTCCCCATCACTGATCCTGCAGGAAGGAAAAAATGAAGAAAGAAAGTTTCTGTAGGCATCATTAACGAAGCTCTTCATGATTGATGCATGATAACCTTGTAGATAGGGGTATTCGCTCGCAGTTCAGGTGAGTATTGATCGGTTTGAAGTACATTCGACTGTTGTGGATCCAAGTGGATGAAGAGCTTCTAGAAGAAGCTGAGAAAAACATCTTGAAGAGGTGGCTGAAAGGGATTTTGTGAGATTGTTGACTCAAGTAAGTACCGAGGCCTACCACACCTCAACAACCACCATCAACAAGCTAGTAGGCTACAACTAATCTGAAATTTTTTCAGGCCAATGCTGTGTAGCTCGTATCGTATCGAGTTACGACGAGGCACTTCATACAGCACTTTGTTCGCTTGTTCGGCGATTGTTCGACGAAATGTGACCAGAATGGGCTCCCGTAAGCCCCCAGCACAGACCTCGCTATGCGACGGGGACAGACGGGCAGGGAGGGCGCGAGAGACCGTGCGATTGCCTTACGCAAGCAATCATAATTAAATTCAGAGATTTATGACCGACTGACACCTGCCCAATCAACGTTTATGGATCTCTATCACCCAGACAGAGGTCTCAAAAAATGATATCTCGGAAGGTCATTACATCCAGAGAGTTCTTGCTTTTCTGTGAAGTACTCCTGGTTACTTCACAGCTCCTTATTTGTCGATTTCCCAGGGGTTCCTTTTGAATATATAACAGCCTTCAAGGTTATGAAATGGGATAGTGTGTGGGTAAACCTTACTGAAAAAAGCTTTGGGAACTGGCATATGTACAGTCAGTGTCCATATGTGCATAGGGTAGAGTTTCATCCAATTCGTCCATAATTGTCTTGACGAAAAAAAGGGCAAGAAAAGTGTGGTTGGGAATGTGCTGCCCTGCAGTCCCCTAATGGAAAAGTGCAATGCGAGCACTCTACCAAACGAGGAACCTAAAAGGATTTTGGATGAAGTTTATTGAGCAGAATATCGAAAAACGTTCGGAGGGAATCCAGGGGATGCCCTCATCCGAGAATAGCGGGGAGGAGAAGAAATTAATGAGAGGGAAGGCAGTTATGGCTATAGGTGTGAAGAAAAGGAGATGGACAGTGATGGAGGGACTATTAAAGGGTAGTATGTTATCGCTATATTCAATATCGAAGATAAATCCTTCAGTGCCTCTCTTAGAGTTCGGAACCGGGCCTTCCCCGAGAGACAAAATCGAGAAAGTGTAACGGGATGGAGGGGCAACATGAAAAGAGGGATGAAGCAAAGTATGAACAAGGGTGCGCTCAAAATGAAAGCATTATTGTGTGCTACCATAACCGTGGACATGGCAGAACGCTCTTTGGAAGGGAGTCGAACTCGTACCTGTGCCGTTCAAACACTGTGCCTGTCGCCTCCCTTACCCTCCTACTGACCCCCCCCCCCCCCCCCCCCCCCCCCNCTAACGGCTTTTCAGCCATGTCTCGGCCTCAAACTGAGAAATGGCAATCAAAGAGGCAAAAAGTTAGGAGCAACTGAGGAAGTTCATAGAAGGCACATCAATCTGACTAGAACAGGCTTCTGAGAAGAAGACTAAAGACCTTCCCGCATTGCGTCATTTCCTTCCCTTAATGCGACCGAGCTTTGTGAAATATGAAACCTTTGTAATGGCCCTCTTCTGATCTTGATTCCCAGGGTGTGCTTTCAAAAACGAAAGGCAAAAAGGGGGAAGGGGGTGGGCCAGTTTCCAACTGGTTCTACCATACCAGCCGGCAGGGAGGCAAGTGAACAACACGGA